TGAAGGCACAGGGAGTGAGTGGTCGCCAGACTTCCAGATGAATTTTTGTTGCTTACGGACCAGGAGAATCCCAGTGGAGGAGCCCCATGGGTCGCCAGCGTGACTCTTTTGGCTGGCGCAGCTGTTTTGCTGGTGTCCCAACGTGGCAGTTCTCAGTGTGGAGTATGCAGCACTGGGTGCCCTTTTAGTTGGTGTTTGGAGCTCCGAGAAGGCAGAGTCACCCATTCAGCTGATTGGGAGGGGGACTGAAGCTGGGAGCCAGACCAGGAGATTCCTGGGCAGAAAAGCGCCACGAATCTCAGTGCTGCTGTTTCAGCCGGCACGGTCGCCACAAGGGAAATTGCATAGATCCCAGCGCCTTTTTGGCAGGTGACTGGGACACCTGGGAGAGAATTGACCGTTCAATTAGGAAAAGAAAAAAAGGGGGCTCTGAGGTGGGGAGCCAGGTGATCGGGCTCAGCTGGTCCCACCCCCACAAAAAAAGAGCAATTGGAAACACTGACAGTTGAGAGTTTCACAGCAAGCACAGCTGAACCCAGGAAGGTCCAGCTCTGTGGGGGAGGGGTGTCTGCCGAAGGAAAACAAAGAAACAGAAATAATATCACCACCAACAAACTGGACATCCACTCAGAGTCCCAATCTGAAAGTCAGCAATTACAAAGATGACAGGTGGGTAAATCCACAAAGATGGGCAGGAACCAGCGGAAAAAGGCTGAAAACGTCCAAAATCAGAATGCCTCTCCTCCTTCTGGATCGTAGCTCCTCAACAGCAAGGGAACAAGGCCTGATGGAGAATGCGTGTGAATTGTCAGAATCAGGCTTCAGAAGGTGGATAATAAGAAACTTCTGTGAGCTAAAAGAACATGTTATAACCCAATGCAAAGAGACTAAGAACCTTGAAAAAAGATTTGATGAAATGCTAACGAGAATAGACAATTTAGAGGGGAATATAAATGAATTAATGGAGCTGAAAAACACAACACGAGAACTTTGCAAAGTATGCAGAAGTCGTAACAGTTGAATTGATCAAGCATAAGAAAGGATATCAGAGGTCGAAGACCAACTCAATGAAATAAAACGAGAAGACAAGATTAGAGAGAAAAAGATAAAAAGGAATGAGCAAAGTCTCTAAGTAATATGCGACTATGTGAAAAAACCTAATCTACATTTGATAGGTGCACCTGAATGTGATGAAGAGAATGAATCCAAGCTGGAAAAAATACTCTTTGGGATATTATACAGGAAAACTTTCCCAACCTAGCAAGGCAGGACAATATTCAACTCCAGGTAATACAGAGAACATCACAAAGATATTCCTCAAGAAGAGCAACCCCAAGGCACATAATCATCAGATGTATGAGGGTTGAAATTAAGGATAAAATGCTAAGGGCAGCCAGAGAGAAAGGCCAGGTTACCCACAAAGGGAAGCCTATCAGACTCACAGCAGATCTCCCAGCAGAAACCCTACAAGCCAGAAGAGTGGGGGCCAATATTCAACATCCTTAAAGAAAAGAACTTTCAACCCAGAATTTTATATCCAGCAAAACTAAGCTTGACAAGTGAAGGAAAAATAAAATCTTTTGTGAACAAGCAAGTACTTAGACATTTCATCACCACCAGGCCTTGCTTTACAAGAGCTTCTGAAAGAAGCACTACACATAGAAAGGAACAACCAGTATCAGCCTTTCAGGAAATATACCAAAAAGTAAAGAGCATCAACATAATGAAGAATTTACATCAACTAATGGGCAAAACAGCCAGTTAGCATCAAATGGCAGTATTAAACTCACATATATCAATATTAATCCTAAATTTAAATCGACTAAATCCCCCAATCAAAAGACACAGACAGGCAAATTGGATAAAGAGCCAAAACCTATCGGTATGCTGCATCCAGACCCATCTCACATGCAAGAATACACAAAGACTCAAAACAAAGGGATGGAGGAAGATTTACCAACCAAATGGAGAGCAAAAATAAATAAATAGCAGGAGTTGCAATTCTCTCCTCTGATAAAATAGACTTTAAAGCAACAAAGATCAAAAGAGGCAAAGAAGGACATTACATAATGCTAAAAGAATCAATGCAACAAGAAGAGCTAATGATCCTAAATATATACGCACCTAATACAGGAGCACCCAGATACATAAGACAAGTTCTTAATGACTTATTAAGAGACTTAGACTCCCACACAATAATAGTGGGAGACTTTAACATCATATTGTCAATATTAGACAGATCAATGAGACAGAAAATTAACAAGTATATCCAGAACTTGAACTCAAACCTGGAACAAGTAAACTTAATAAACATTTATAGAACTCTCCACCCCAAATACACAAAACATACATTCTTATCAGTACCACATCACACCTACTCTAAAAGTGACTACATAATTGGAAGTAAATCATTCTTCAGTAATTGCATAGCATTTCACAGGTTTAAATGAAATATTGGTTCGCTGCTTGTTATTTTCCTCCCTTATTCTTTCCTGTCTCCATTGTTAAGCACAATTATTGGCATAAAAGAGGTTTTCAATACCCATTTTTAGACTGCATTCTAGCCTGGGCAATAAAGCGACACTCCTGTTCTCTCTCCCTCTTTCTCTTCCTCTTTCTCTCTTTCATTCTTCTTCTTCTTTTAATTCTTTTTTCTTTTTTTCTCTCTTAAAAAAAAAAAAAAGAAGACCCTATCATCTCACTCCAAAATCTCCTTAAACTGATAAGCAACTTCAGCAAAGTCTCAGGATACAAAATCAATGTGCAGAAACCACAAGCATTCCTATACACCAATAACAGCCTAACAGAAAGCCAAATCATGAGCAAACTCCCATTCAAAATTGCTACAAAGAGAATAAAATACCTAGGAATACAACTAACAAAGGATGTAAAGGACCTCTTCAAGGAGAACTACAAACCACTGCTCAAGGAAATAAGAGGACACAAACAGATGGAAAAACATTCTATGCTCATGGTTAGGAAGAATCAATATCGTGAAAATGGCCATACTGCCCCAAGTAATTTATGGATTCAATGCTATCCCCATCAAGCTACCAATGACCTTTTTCACAAAACTGGAAAAAACCACCTTAAACTTCATATGGAACCAAAAGAGGGCCTGCATACCCAAGACAATCCTAAGCAAGGAGAATAAAGCTGGAGGCATCATGCTACTAGATTTCAAACTATACTACAAGGCTACAGTAATCAAAACAGCATGGTACTGGTACCAAACAGAGATATAGACCAATGGAACAGAACAGAGGCCGTGCAGGCAATGCCACACATCTACAACCATATAATCATTGACAAATCTGAGAAATACAAGCAATGGGGAAAGGATTCTCTGTTTAATAAATAGTGTTGGGAAAACTGGCTAGTCATGTGCAGGAAGCAGAAACTGGACCCCTTCCTGTCACTTTATACCAAAATTAACTCCAAATGGATTAAAGACTTAAACATAAGACCTAATGCCATAAAAACCCTCGAAGAAAACGTAGGCAAAACCATTCAAGACATAGGCATAGGCCAGGACTTCATGACTAAAACATTGAAAGCATGGGCAACAAAAGCCAAAATAGACAAATGGGACCTAATTCAACTCCAGAGCTTCTGTACAGCAAAAGAAACAATCATTAGAGTAAACCAGCAACCAACAGAATGGGAAAAAAATTTTTTTGCAATCTACCCATCTGACAAAGGGCTAACATCCAGAATCTACAAAAAACTAAAACAGATTTACAAGAAAAAAACGAACAAACCCATCCAAAAGCGGGCAAGAGGTATGAACAGCCACTTTTCAAAAGAAGACTTATATGAGGCCAATAACCATATGAAAAAAATGCTCATCATCACTGATTATTAGAGAAATGTAAATCAAAAACACACTGAGATACCATCTTATGCCAGTTAGAATGGCAATCATTAACACATCTGGAGACAACAGATGCTGGAGAGGACCTGGAGAAATAGGAACACTTTTACACTGTTGGTAGGAGTATAAACGAGTTCAACCATTGTGGAAGACAGTGTGGTGCTTCCTCAAGGACCTAGAAATAGAAATTCCATTTGACTCAGCAATCCCATTAATGGGTATATAACCAAAGGATTATAAATCAATCTATTAAAAAGACACATGCACATGTATGTTCATACCGGCACTGTTTACAATAGCAAAGAACTGGAACTAACCCAAATGTCCATCAACGATAGACTGGACAACGAAAATGTGGCACATATACACCATGGAATATGATGCAGCCATAAAAAATGATGAAGTTGTATCCTTTGTAAGGACATGGATGAATCTGGAAACCATCATTCTCAGAAACTGACACAAGAACAGAAAATCAAACACCACATGTTCTCACTTGTAGGCGGGTGTTGGAACAATGAGAACACATGGACACTGGGACGGGAGCATCACACCCTGGGGTCTGTTATGGGGGGCCAAGGGAGGGACATCAGGGGAGTAGGGAGGTGAGGGAGGGATAACATGGGGAGAAATGCCAGATGTAGGTGACAGGGGAATGGAGGCAGCAAACCACATTGCCATGTGTGTAACTATGCAACAATCCTGCATGATCTGCACATGTACCCCAGAACCTAAAGTACAATTAAAAAAAAGAATGCAGTGATATTGAAAAAAAGAAAAGTAATCAATTTTGCTACTGTGTCTCTGATATGACCAGTCAAATAAATATGTGCATTGAAACAAAAAAGTAAAAATAAAAAGAATAATAAAAATAAAAATTTTCACACAGGGATAGAAAAATAGTTCAAGGATTACAATGTGGAAACCTGAAACAGACTTTCTTGTTAATCCATGACAATGACAGTTTATACTGTAATCAGTTGGAAGAATTCAATTAATTTGGGCTGGGATAACTGGCTATGCATACAGAAACATAAAATTAAATCCCCTTCTCAGACCATATCAATATAAATTTTATACAACTGCCAGTAAATTAGCTAATAAATTAGAATAATAACATACTCACTGGATTGCCATACACTGTAAGCTCTCTGAGAGAAGAGATAACATCAAGTTTTTCCAGTTCTGTGATATCCTATTCAAAAGTTATTCTTTGATTAGACTCAACATCTTCAAAGATAGACTAATTTGAAGTAATTATATATAAGTGTTAGATTGAAAGTAGCTCATGATTGAATTCTCTGAAGTCAGTTTGAGTAACAGTATTCTGTACTCTTGAATAAAGGCAGATCTGTGTACTGTAGATTTCAAATACATGACTGGCAAAGATAACAGTCTAACATGGAAGATTGGCTATATAGCAGCACTTGTAAGAAAAGACCACATTTTTTCTCAGAATTATGATTTATTCTAGGACTCAGATTATATTTGGTTAATTCCTCCAGTGTATTGACCAAGAAGTGTGCAAAACGTGAATAGAATCTAAAAGTTTTAAAGGTACATAATTAATTAATTAATTACACTATCTTAAAAAAAAGGAATGTGTGATACTGAGTGGATTGCATCCTGATATACTTTCTGGGAGTATATTAAGCTGAAAAACAATTTCTCACGTTAAAAAATTTGTCTTCCCTACTGCATCGCATTATTTATTAACTTCCATTTAACACTGGTGAAAGTTTGCAAATACATTTTAGTTTTTGCAAAATTATTTCTAAAATGCTATTTCTGACAAACTTTAGCCAACAAGCTCAGCCTAAGGGTGTTGCTAGTTCAGGTAACAAAACAAAGTTATTGACATAATTATATTCCTTTGTGGAATTACAAGTGGACATATAGCAAATTCTTCTAGTAACTGTAAAAATATTTATCTATTTTAGATCATTTGGAAGTGAATTCGATTTTTAAAATGACTGATCTTTACTACTTTGATTTTGGAAGGAGTATCATAAAGGAGGGCTTTGAAAAATCTGTACATTTATAGAAATATTGTGCATTTTTACCCACAGGCAGTTTCTATCTGTGGAATCAAAGCCTGATCGGTAATCACAGACATTTGAAAAGGCTTACATTATTTTCTCAAATTAAACCGAATATAACAGTAGTCACTAATGAAATATTCCTAACCAAAATGTCTGTTTTTCACAGAAAATGTTAATATGGGAAATAGACTATTAAATTTGTAGAAGATAATGATGGCATGAACTTTTAAAGAGACATCAAGGAAACTCATATGTCCATAATTGGGGGGAGCGGGCTGATGGCTTCCCATTTTTAATATACAACATTATTTTTTTTTTTACAGTAGTGTGCTGCTACTGGCTCACAAAGAGTCAATTGGCAATTTTTAGGGATTTTGTGGGATGGCATGTTAGCTTGAAGTTGGCTACAACAGAAGAAATTCTACTACAGAAATTGGTAAATGTCACTAATTAGGGATTTTTTTTTTCTTCTTAGCCAGTTGTTAAACATTAACCAGGATACCAATGGGTGTTACAATGTCAGCATAAGCACTTAAGGCAGTCATATAATAGTCGTGCCTAGATTGGTGCCCTCACTGAGGACAAGAAATAGCAATAGACTATTCTTGGGGTAATTTTCAGTTTCAGGTGATTAGTTATATGTTTAAAAGTAGACAGAGTAGCTGGATGCCAGGTAGGGGAATCATTTAGACACAGGGATCAAATGGGACGATAAAGGTGAATTAAATAACTAATCTTTAAATTGTGTTTCTGTGATTCTTCCTTTAGAAGCAAGACTATAGACAACAATTTGCTAAATCTACATTATTGGACAGGATGGCTAAGTAAAAAGCATTGCACCAGAATCAAGGATATGTATTATATTTTGTCAAGGATATAGCTTTGAAGGATATTAAAGTAGGTCAGTAAGGGGCTGCATATATCTTCATTTGAAATATTGCTCCTTTGCTAATTTTTCTAGGCTTTCTCCTTTCCATCAATCTTTATCAATGCAAAGTTTGCAATCTGACTGCCCCTTTGTGGAAATTAATGCTGCTATCAGCCTGCCCATGTTGGTATATGTAGAATATCTCTCAAAAACAAAATTTGAAGTGAGAGTTCAGAAGTTTGAAGACAATATGTTTTCAGTAGAATCTGACTTCATATTTTCCCCAGCTAAATGCATGGTCACATTAAGGTACTATAATATTAATGATTAGAATAAGCTTAATGGCAAAATGATCGACCTAAATTCAATGGAAAATAACATTTTAGGGATAAAAATAAAGAAGGACTGGTCATTAAATAATCAGTAATGCTCATTCAATAATATGTAGAATCTCTCATATTATATAAGTTCTCATTTATCTATATTAGATTTTGATAATAAATAAGTTTGACTAAGTATAGCTGTTATACCAGCTGATCTCTTAATGAATGATCTATCCATTCATTCACTTAAGAGGGATAGAGGGTAGACAGGTAGGGCAGGGACACTCCTGTGGAAAAGCAGGTGACCAGGTCTAATCTCCTTGTAAGCATGCTGGTAACTGGACATCCTGTCAAATAAAGCAATGATACGTGCTAGGAAGAAGGTCTTCATTTACCTTATTCTCTTAGTGGATCTCCTTGGTTAAAGACTACCTATAATAAATAAACCTAGAATCTATAGAATTATAAGGCATGGATCCCTATAAAATGTCACATGATTTCAAGTTTAAAATGGAGATGTTTAATAAATGAAACACTCCCCTCTGTATTAGATCACCTCATGGAATCGCACTTGAAGATCTCATCTTTTATTCTAAGCTCAATGGTGTGTGTGATGTGGGAAGGAAGGTCCTGAGAAGGCACTAAACATGTCCTGGGCCCTGTGTGTCCTTGAAATTATTTGTAAAGTTTGATACTAGGTATCTCTGATGAGTGCTAAGTCTAATTTGACAATCTTTTCTGTTAGCTCAGTTGCTATCACTGGAAAGATTCTCCAGAGTAGGGCAATTTTCCTTGTTTAGATTTCTTCTGGGTAAAGCTTAGGAAGAATCATCCCCAGTTTTGGCAGGCTTTTTCCAGATGAATGTTTGAATCTGTATAAATTAGTTGTATACTATTTTTATCTGTATGTCATTCCCTAGTCAGTATGTAGAAAGGGGCATGGCTGATGATTTCCTTCTAACCTTGTCCAGGGCTTTTACAAAAATCAGTCCCAGAAAAGGCTTCCTGAACTCCATAGCAAATAGAACCACAAACAAATATTAACGGAGTATCTATTAAGTACCAGGTACTATGCTATCTACCGATATAAATGTGGGCAAGATAGAGTTGGTCACTGCCCTTAGCAGGTAGTCCACAGTTCAATTTGTCTTTGAGGCTATCTTAGAGGTATGGGCAGACGTAGAAAAGTTGGTAAAAGAAGAGCTAACAGACCACCACAGAAATTCTGAGAGACATGTGAGGGCTGTATAAGATTATGTCTTCAACTCTTTATCTGTGCAGTGGCCTAAAAGTAACAGGTTAAATTCAGAGCAGGTAAAACTAAGGCAGGAATCTATCTAAGAAAGCCTTGAGTGGGGAAAGATATAATATTAAAGCCAAGTCAAAGTCCATTATCAGGAGTTGATTCAAATGCCAGGTAGAACAAGGACATATGACAGGTTTAAAGGGCCAAAGGATGTCTGGAATCGAGATTCAGAAACAACCTGGACCAAGAGCAGTCAAGAAACAAATGAGAGCTCTCAGAGAGGACTGATGAGGAAACCTTAGAACATTTAGAACCTTTGTAATTGAGTTTGTGCATGTGGGTTTGCCTGGTTCTTAAGTCTAGAAGCAGGGTGGACATTTCTGCATCACAGACTATTTCTATGCCTTGAAATATAGATGATAAATAACATACTAGCAATATTTTCATTGGTGTGTTCGGAAGCTTTATGTTCAGAACTCAAAGAAATTAAAGCTTGTAAATCCCATAATAAAAAGTAACAATGTTACCTGGATTTTATTATATCCTAGGAAGAGTTTCTCTAGTTTTACCAAAGACTGTAATTTGCCCAGCTCTCGTAGTCTGTTTTCTTCCAAGTGAAGTGCCAACAAAGAACTTGGTTTGGCAAAAGCACTGTCATTAAGTGCTCGGATGCGGTTATGGTCCACTACCAATTCCTTAAGGACTACTAAGTTGTCAAGCCCTTCAACTTCACTGATTTCATTACCTAAAAAGAGATAAGTCATGATATATGACATGAGCCCAAACTTTCTGAATTAAAGGATATCTACTTTCATTTAAATATTTTTTAATCAGATGATTTTTCGAAAGAAGTAACGAATTCAAGAAACTTATTGCCAGAGAGAAATTGAAATGTAATTCACAGGAAGGTAGTGTCATCATAAAATAATATTTGCTAAAATTTCTCATTTGTGTTTGAAAGATCAGGATGTGATGTACACACTGCACTTAATTGATTTAATGTCTGTTCAGTAATTAAGTATTAAAAGTTGGTATTGACAAAAGTAGATATATAAAAGTGCTGCAAAAGATATGCTTCCTGAATATAGTGATTTTTCAAATAGGTATAATAGTATAATTATTTCTTAAAATAAACTAATTTGTTATGTTAGAAGAATACACATTAATTATGCTGTTCTTTCTCATATTTTCATACTGTGACCATATTAAACACACTAGTTTATTTAATTCTTTAAAACCCTAAACCCTTATTTATAAACTACTATTTCTCTCTATTATAGCTATCGATAGCTATATAAATATTAATGATAACTTATATGAGGACTCTTCAATTTATAAAATGCTTCTATATTTATAGTATCTTCTATTAGAGCCTCAAAATACTAGAGAGGAAATATTAATATCTCTTTTTCCTAATCAGAAAATTGAGGGTCAGAGAAATTAAGTGGCATTCTCAAAGACATAAGAATGGCAATACCAGACCTCCCTTAGACCTTTCACATTTTAAGCTCAATGCTCTTTCTAGTACACCATACTACATTTCATTCAATATTCATTCTCCTTGATTATTACATGCTGAATTGTGGCCCCTCAAATTCATATGTGAAAATCCTAACCTCTAGTACCTCTAAATATGACTGTATTTGGAGACAGGGTCTTTAAAAAGATAATTAAGGTTAAATGAGGTTGTTGGGGTGAGCGTTAACTCAATATGACTAGTGTCCTTATAACAACTGGCATAAAGACAGACACACAGACCAATGGAATAGAATAGAGAACCCAGAAATAAATTCATACATTTACAGTCAACGCATTTTTAACAAAGGTGCTAAGAACATACATTGGAGAAAAAACAGTCTCTTCAATAAATGGTGCTGGGAAAACTGGATATCCATATGCAGAAGAAATGAAACTTGAGCCCTATCTCTTGTCATATACAAAAGTCAAATCAAAATGGATTAGAAACTTAAATCTAAGACCTCAAAATATGAAACTTCCAGAAGAAAGCATTAGGGAAACTTTCTAGGACATTGGACTTGGCAAAGATTTCTTGTGTAGTACCTCAAAAACACAGGCGACCAAAGCAAAAATGGACAAATGGGATTGCATCAAGCTAAAAAGCTCATGCACAGCAAAGAAAACAATCAACAAAGTGAAGAGATAGCCCACAGAATGGGAGAAAATATTTGCAAACTACCCATCTAACAAGGGATTAATAACCAAAATATATGAGAATCCCAGACAACTCAGTAGGAAAAAGGTCTGCATAGACATTTCTCAAAAGAAGACAAATGACCAACATGTATATAGAAAAATGCCCAACTACTAATCATAAGAGAAATACAAAGGAGATTTCATCTTACCCCAGTTAAAATGGCTTTTATCCAAAAGACGGGCAATAATAAATGCTGGTGAAGATATAGAGAAAGGGGTAGAATGTCTTCAAAGCTCTTTTCAGCCTTTCATTCTCCTTTCTCTGTACTTACTTCCTAAGTAAGCACATACATTTATGACTTCACCTATCACTTCCATTGTGATCAATCTAAAATAATGTATTTTTAGTCCTGACTTGTGATCCAGTATTATTACTTGAAAGTTTCTGTTTTTAATGCATCAAAATTGTTACCACACAAACTGAGCTTTCTCTTCTCCCAAATAATCAACATTTCCCAATGACTTTAGCTTTAGTACCTCATCTTGCTCAATCTCCTAATGAAATTATAAAAACATCTTGGACAATTTTTCTCCTTATTTTATATCTAATTAGCCACTAAATCCTAACATTTCCTCCTTTTAAACTGCCTTTTGGACTCAACTCTTAACACTCCCCCTGACAGCACTCTAGTCTATGCCCTTATTATGTCATTCAACCTGGGTAGAAACTGCATGTGCTTTGGAGGTAGGCTGATCTACGTTTGACTTTGTACCATAACACACACTGGTGCTAACTTGGCAATTTATTAAACCTCACTGAATGTCACTTTTTTTGTAAAATATATATAACAATCCTTAATTACCATGTAGGGTTGCTGTGAAGATTAAATATGACAATCTATGTAGACAAACACCTTGCCCAGTGACTCCATAAATGGCAGCTGCATAGGGCTGCCCTACTCTAATTTGCCATGCCAGCCATAGCATTGGAACACACTCCTCCTTTACATTATTAGATTAAAATAGACCTTCCAGGGTTAGGTTGTCTGCTTTTTTGTATGTCAGTGTATCTTTTAAAAGATCTGGGCAGGGAGTGGTGGCTCATGCCTGTAAACCCACCGCTTTGGGAAGCTGAGGTGAAATGATCTCTTAAGGCCAGGAGTTTGGGACTAGCCTGGACATCAAATTGAGACCCCATATCTATAGAAAAAAATTAAAATTAAAATTAAAAATTAGCCAGGCATGGTGGCACAAGCCTGTAGTCCCAACTACTCAGGAGGCTGAGGTGGGAGGATCACTTGAGCTCTGGAGGTTGGGGCTGCAGTGAGCTATGATTGTGCCAATGCACTTCAGCCTGGGTGATAGCGACCTTTTCTCAAAAAATAAACACAAACCAATAAAACAAAAAAACAAAAGCCAATCTGTCACAGCCATATAAAAGAATGGAATCATGCCCTCTGCAGCAACCTGGATGGAGCTGGAGGCCATTATCCTCAGTGAACTAACTCAGAAACAGAAAATTAAATTTTTCTATCTCCTACACATAGGAGCTAAACAATAAGTACACAGTAAGTACACACCAACAATAAGTACACTGCAAAAAGAAAGACAATGGGAGGCCAGGTGAGAGTTGAAAAATTACCTATTGGATACTATATTCACTATTTGGGTAATGGGTACACTAGCAGCTCAATTCACACCAGTACATAAACCATGTTAACAAACATACACATGTACCCTTTGAATCTAAAATAATTTTTTTTAAAACAACGATCTGTCATTGTGCTAAATTTCTTGTTTTTAAGGCCAAGTCTCTAGGTTCTTGATCCCAATCACAAGTGCTTTTGATATATAAAAAGATGCATTCATATTTTTAAAAATATGGTCTAGAAAAGCCTGTCTTTTAGAAGTTATTATACTCAGATCAACTACCTCGGTATCTCTCCACATGTCTTACTGATGGATCTCCCTGCCTTTCTCCTATGCCACTAAAAATTTTTGTTAGACTAAATCTCCAAGCCCTGTATTTTCTCATACTACTTTTCTAAAAGTCTCAAGCTCCTACCTATTATTAACTACAACCTGTACAAATTTCTCTGCTTGGCTTCCCATAGTTTTGTCCTACTCTGTATTTTCAACCTCAAATTTTCACTATTCTACAAAATTTTAAAAACTGCTAATTGTTGATGGGAGTGTAAATTAGTTCAACCACTGTGGAAGACAGTGTGGCAATCCCTCAAGGATCTAGAATCAGAAATATCATTTGACCCAGGAATCCCATTACTGAGTATATACCCAAAGGATTATGAATCATTCTACTATAAGGACACATGCACACATATGTTTATTGCAGCACTATTCACAATAGCAAAGACTTGGAACCAACCCAATGCCCATTAATGTTAGACTGGATAAAGCAAATGTGGCATATATATATATACCGTGGAATACTATGTAGCCCTAAAAAAAATGAGTTCATGTCCTTTTCAGGGACATGGATGAAGCTGAAAACCATCATTCTCAACAAACTAACACAGGAACAGAAACCCAAACACCACATGTTCTCACTCATAAGTGGGAGCTGAACAATGAGAATGAATATAGGGAGGGGAACATCAGACACCAGGGCCTGTCAGGAGTTGAGGGGGCAAGGGAAGGGATAGCATTAGGAGAAATACCTAATGCAGATGATGGGTTGATGGGTGCTGCAAACCACCATGGCACATGTATACCTATGTTACAAACCTGCACGTTCTGCACAAGTATCCCAGAACTTTAATAAAAAAAATTACTATAATGAGGTTTTTTAAAATTAAAATTAAATAAAATGAACACATATATTGAAATGAGCATTATTTATCAAGTTGATCATGTATAGAAGATTTATAACTCTCTTACAAAAGTGCATATTCTTTGTTCCCATCGGGTTGGTCCCTTTTCAAGTTTTGGCCCACAGACACCACAGTCATGTCCTGTGACTTTTCTTCCTCTCCCTGCTTGCAAAGCTCTCAGTAATGCTCACCTTCAATCTATGTACTATCACTCCTTTAAGGAGCTCTATGCATGTGGAGGAGTTAATCTTTTAATTTCTCTCTTATCTGAACTTCTATTGCACTTAAGTTAATAATACATAGTTTGAACTTAATTCATCTTTGTCTCAGTACATCTCCACAGATCTTAAACTACTTAGATCAAGGATTTCAATGATATATAATTATAATAATATACTACTTCCATATCTTTCTGGGAAGTAGATATCTTCCATATCAGTTCTGGGTTTAATAAATACTTGTGAATTACCCACTGGTTATTGTTTTTTTTATTGGTTTTTAAGTTGAATACAATATACAAATAAATTGTGATATAATACTCTATATATTCTCTGAATACTGCATTGACCTTTAAAAATGGTTTCTAAAAATATATAAGTAACCCAAGAAAACCCCATTTGTGATTACTAAAATATTTTTGTCTATGAATTTGAGTAAATGTTGATGCTTTTATTTGCTTATTAAAACAGAATGATGATAAGTCAGCTTTTAAAAATAATGACTTAAATAATAACTGTATTTTTACTCACCCTGTAGAAAGAGGAATTTTAAATTTCTTAGTCTGTTAAGTTGTAGCTGGATCAAATTACAAATTCCATTGTAGCCCAAATGAAGAACTTCTAAACTGTGCATTATTGGAGGCAAATTTTCAGTGCTCATTGTATCTCTGAAACACATAGGTAAGTTTGAGGCCATAAACTTAACTTCAAACTACCTAATTCATGAAAAGACAGTTCAGTATGTGTTTACTATAAACTGACATTAAGAAAAAATAAATTTACTAATATATCAGAATTAAGCTATAATACATAATCTGTTTACAATTTACATAATAATACTTTCTTATTCTTTAATAAAGAAGTACATAAGGGTGTTACAATGAAAAGCAATGGCAAATGCAATCAGGCAAGAAAAAAATGCATTCAATTGGAAAGGAATAAATAAAACTGTCTTTATTTTTGGATGACATGATCTTATATTTAGAAAATCCTAAAGAATCCACCAAAAAAATACTTGATGCAATAAAGGAATTCAGCGAGGTCATAGGATAAAAGATTAATGTACAAAAATCAACTGAATTTTCTACCTACCAGTAATAAATAATCTGAAATGAATTAAGCAAAAACTCTTTTCCCAAAGTATAGAAAAGAATAAAATACTTCAGCATAAATTTAATAAAAAAGAAGTAGAAAATCTGTACACAGAAAACTATAAAACATTACTGAGAAAAAAATAACAAAGAGCTAAATAGAGAAATATTCCATGTGTATGGATTAGAAGATTTCCTATTACTAAAATGCCAATTCTCCCAAACTGAGCAATAGATTCATTTAATACAATCTCTATAAAAAATCCAGAAGACATCCCCCCACTCACTGTGAATAATCATCTATCATAAAATTTATAAAGAAATGCAAAGAATTTAGAATATTCAAAACAATCTTTTAAAAGAACAAAGTTGGAGGGCTTAATTCATTGATTTTAAAATTTTTTATAAAATCACAGTAATCAAACCATTCTAGTACTGGCACAAAAGAACAGACATGCAGATCAATGGAACAGAACTGAGTACAGAAATAAACTCTTACATTTATGGTCAACTTATTTTTAGCAAATGTGCCAAAACAATTCAATAGTGGAAATGAGAGTGTCTAAAGAAATGGTGCTTCGACAACTGAATATCCACATACAGAAATGGATTTAGACCTCACTCCTACCTCACAACATACACAATCATTAATTCAAAATAGATCATAGGGCTAGATGTAAGAGTGAAAACATAAAACCTTTTAAAGAAAACAGGAGAACATCTTTGTGACCTTATGTTAGTCAATGAATTATTATATATAACACTAAAATTGTAATCTGTAAGAGAAAAGTTGATAAATTAGATTTTATCAAAATTAAAATTTCTTCAAAGACACCATTTAAGAAAACGAAAAGAGAGCCACAGATTGAGAGAAAATATCTGTAAATCATTTATTTAATAAAGGGCTTACATCCAGTATGAAGACACTCAATAATAAAAAGCCAAGCAACCTAATTAAACAATTAGGATTTTTAGGTTTTAGATTTGAATAGAGATTTTATCAAAGAAGATGTATGAATGATTAATAAGCATATGAAAAACTGCTCAACACTATTCATCATTAGGAAATGCAAATTAAAATCACAATAAGATACCACTTCAAATGTACTAGAAAGGCTATACTGTAAAAGATAGGCAATAGCAAGCACTGGCAAAGATGTGCAGAAACTGGAATCTTCATACACTGCTGCTGATAATGAAAAATGGTGCAACCACTTTGGAAAACAGTTTAGCAGTTTCTTAAATAGCCATATGTTAAAGTATCATATGATCCAACCATTCCACTCATAGGTATCTACTCAAAATAGACATAATAAAAATACGAGTGCACACGAATACTTGTACCCAAATGTTTAAAGCAGCATTATTCAAACCAACCAAAAGTAGAAACAATTCAAATGTCTGTCAATGATGAATAAACATTATGGAACATGTAACATTATGTAACATTATGTATACAGTGAAACAGCCAATATATTAAACTATAAAAAGGAGTGCCACAATGAACCTTGAAAACATCATGCTAAGGGTAAGAAGCCAGAGGCAAAAGACCACCTCGTTTATGGTTCCATTTACATGCAATGTTTAGAAAACACAATCCTAGAAAATAGATGAGAGGTTGTTTGGGACTATAGGTGGAAAAGGAAATTGACTGTAAATGGACATGAAGGATCTTTTTGGTGAGATGGAAAATGTTTTAAATTATATTGCAGTCATGATTACACAATTCTATAATTTTAGTAAAATCATTGAATTATACACTTAATATGAGTAAATATGATACATAAACTGCCACTTCAATAAAACTATTAGAAAAATAAAATATGAATAGGATCCAAAAAATATGTACATAAATGAAATATTGATAGTAGCTTTAATCATAATAGACTAAAATTGGGAACAACCAAAACGTTCATCAATGATAAATGCATAAACAACTTGTCATATAATACATATAAAGGAATACTATTAGGCAATAAAATGAAATAAATTACTGACACTTGCAACAAAATGAATGAATCTCAAAAGCATTATGCTAAGTAAAAGGAGCCAGACACAAAACCTATTAACTATATAATTCCAATTATATCAAATTTTAGAAAAAGGCAATATTATAGTGAGAGAGAGCAGATTAGTGGTTGTTGCCAGGTGCCAGGGTGTCAGGGGAGGGATTACAAAGGAACTTTTTGGAATAGGAAATATTTTGCATTTTGATTGTGGTACAGGTTATATGATTGAATACAGTTGTCAAAATTCATTAAACTTTACACTTAAGTTGGTGAATTTTGTTGCATGCATGGAAATTGTACTTCAATAGAGGTAATAAAAAGCACAAGGAATATTCTTTATTGGGAAAAATGGAATGAAAATATTCTGATTTGGAGATAAACATTGTATGATACATGATATATATTATATAATGTATATCTATATGTTCTATCAAAAATGTGTAAGGAGTTAGAAGGTTTGTCCTCATTTTTTGCATAAAGTATCTATTCTATTGGTGCTGGGTCATTAAGTGACCAGATAAATAATTTAGAAATAAAAGCAAAAGAAATGCTAAAAAACAAACAAACAAACAAAAAAACCCATGTCCATGCTACTGTGTATAAGATTCTTTTGTGGGGTGATAAAATGTTTATGATGAATAAACTAAAAATTACCGAATTGTACACACAGGGTGAGTTTTATGGCATGTGAATTGTACCTCAATTTTAAAAAAGGACACCCATGGTCATCAAACATGCAGTATAAGGCTTCCCCCCACCCTTTATTCACAATATAGGTTTGAAATAGAGAAGGTTGAGAATAAACAATGAGAGAAATATTTTGAGTATCTTTTTATTTATGAAGTTTATTTTGAGCATGTAGCTACTAAATAAAACAGGTATTACAATAAACTAAATGTTATGTACTGGAATTTGTTACTGCTATCATTAATGTGATTAACTGCTTTTAAAACTCCCAACCAAAATAATTTATAATCACAAAAATAAAGAATAGTACCTGTTTGTTTTTGAAATTCCTTGCTGTCCATAGCCACTTGAAGGCACTTTCTGGTACAGTAGTTGTCTATTGGTTAAGTGAGTCTGAGGTTTTAGTCTGGGTGTGATTGATTCAATATGATTATAGTTGAGGCATAAGACCTACAGAAAAAAATATCTTATTAATCAGAAATCCTAGAAACTATTAAAAATTGTATGGCTAAATCTTGGAATATACCACATAATTTAATAATATATTAGTGCTAAAACAACAAATGTTTATATCCTAAGTAATATAGATTTAGTTTTAAATGTTTTTTTAATCTGACATCTGGGGAAATTACAATACTTCACATAAAGTAATGGAGATCCTAGAAAGCATCTCAACTTTTTCAATTTGTACTCCTGATTTCTCCAAACCTGACAAGGATGAAATGATTTTTAGTTGAAGAGACAGCTATTTACCTATGTTTAAAAGGCCTTAGTAGATGGCTGAGTCAAGGAAGTCAGAAAGGAGGCAATAAGGCCGTTTAAAGAACCTTGAAACTTCATTCCATACCTGCCTTCAAAGGAAGATTTACTAGATATGTGACAATCACATAAAACTGAGGTCAAACCAACACCACTTTGAAAGGTAATATTTTTTTCTTGCTTTGTAAAAACCAACCAAACAAACAAAAAACCCCAAAGAAAATTTAGGAATAAATTATCTACTTTAATAACATGGAAACGCTATTTAATTCAAAGTAAAGAAGATAATAACTTGCATTGCAAACCTTGAAAGAAAAAGTAATTTGTGAGTGACTCACCTTCACATTAGGTAGATAGATTAATCCACTGAATGAGGTAAGATTATTGTTCTGTAGATTCACATTACACACATTTCTAAATTGGTCAACTGGAATCAAATCCACAGTTCTGAATTTAGACAAAGTAAATACAGTTATTATTTTAATAGGACAGGAAAATAAAAGATGAGTTCCTTCATATACAACTACCAAAGGCATTAAAAAAAGCCTCATCTGACAAATACAAAAATAATTAATGTAAAATGAATTGGTTAAATGATCAGCTGAGTATATATTTTGGTTGGGTATATATGCAAGAAAGTGACATAGAATTTGGTTGCTTTAAAAAAACACATCTATTACCATATAAACATAGCACTATTACAGAAGAAACTTATAAAAGAGACATTTCTACTTTGTTTATAAATTCACATATATGTTCATGAAATCACAGTGAAATTGATATAGTAAATCATAAGATTTTCAGGTTATGAACTTCGGATGATATATAAGAAGTATGTCATTTCTGAAATACCAGGAAGTGGTTAGGGATGGAAAAGGAAAGGAAAAGCAGGTAATGTTTTTGAAAGGTAATGTTTCTGTGGGATCTTTTGGAAACTTTTATGGCATTTCATCTGTGTGAACATTTTGGTAATTTAACAAAATCCTTGATTCCCAGTCCATAGCTATACCTTCATTTGAGACATGACAGAGAAAAGCATAAAACTACATCCCTTTTCCTAACCACTTCTCTAAACAAATCCTAAACTTGAAGTTATAATTATGACATTTACCCATTCATTCATTCATTCATTTATTCATTCAACATATTTTCATTAGTATTTCCTAAGTGCAGAAAATGTGTTTGGAAAGGCTACAACAAAGATGAAAGAAATGTTTCAGCCCCTAAGAAGTGGGAGCCAGAGAAATGAAAATAAAGAGGAGAATTGCTATGATGGAGTTAGCATCTCTATCATACCAGTGTAATGGCATTTCAGGAAAAGAAAATATATTTTAAAAAGTCAAGGATGAGAGCATGGAGGAGAGAGATCTTGAGATGATATTTGGAGGATTTATAGGTATTTGTCAAGTAAATTAGCAGAAAATAGTTCTAGGCAGTGCAACAGGTACAAACAAAGGCAGAAACAAACATGAAAGATCATCTTATGGTTGAGATTTAGTAACTAGAATATTTCAGAATTTCTCAAATATAAAAGTGTCATGGGCAGTAAAGAAAAGGACTACAAGAGATAATGGACAGGTAATAAAGGGTCTTTCATGTTATACAAAGGAATTTTACATTTTAAGCTGGGGACAGTGGCTCACACCTGAAATTCCAGCACTTTGGGAGACTGAGGCAGGTCAATCACTTGAGCCCATGATTGGAGACCAGCCTGAAAACATGCCATAAATGCTGTCTCCACAAAAAATACAAAGAAAATTAGCCATGCTTGATGACACGTGCCTGTAGTAGGAGGTTAAATTGAACCTGCAAGTTGAAGCTGCATTGAGCCATTTTTTGAGACCACGCCTCAGAAAATGCTAATTACTTAGCATGAACCTTTGCATTAGGGTAGGTAATTTTATGAATTGATTATATTTAGGTAAGATATATAAATGTACATGCTTCAGAAAAATTATAATCATATAGTTTAATTATGATGTAAAAAGGCATATAATAAAATGATTGTACCTAATATATGATGAAGTCCAATTTAGTTCTTGCATTTGGGTGAAGTTGGAATGTCCTTGTTGTTCTGCAATCATGTCAGAAGTAAGTCTACCACCAAACAAATCTTTTGCACTCTCAGCCTCTGGTGGTTCCTATATGAAGACATTTAGAAAATGATGTCCTGTCTTACAGATGACTAAATCACATAGTTCTCTGGTTTCAGGCAACAATTCAGTGGACTCATTTCTCCCAATTCCTCCTACTAAGTAGAACTAAATCCTGTATATTATATATGAAACAAACATAAGGCAGGGCAAGGTGGCTAACACCTATAATCCTAGCATATTGGAAGGCCAAGGTGGGAGGATTGCTTGAATCCAGGAGTTCGAGATGAACCTGGGCAACAAAGTGAGAACCTGTCTCTACTAAAAATAAAAAACAATTAGTTAAGTACAGTGGCACATGCCTGTAGTCATAGCTATGTGGGAGGCTGAGGCCAGAGGATGTCCTGAGCACAGGAGTTCAGAGGCTGCAGTGAGCTATGATCATGCCACTGGCTTCCAGTTTGGGTGACAGAGTGAGACTCTGTCTCTAAAAAATTTTTTTAATTAAAAAAATTAAAACCAAACATAAGAATACTGAAAGATGTGGAGAAGAAGGAAGACCAGGTAGGTACCTTAGGACCTGAGGAATGACACCCTGGATTTTCTTTGCTTCATAATCTCTACTAGGTGGTGGAGAAGCTAGAAACTCATAAACGACAATAAGAAAAAACCAGACAAAGTCCACAAAAATCCTGCTCTCTCCAGTCAAAGGATCAGGGAGGGGAAGCCTAGCACAGCAGAAAACTTTAGACAATAACAAGCTTACTCCTGCTAAACCCTACAAGAGGGCCCCAACTACATGACCATCAGTAAAAGCAGAATGGGCTGCTTAGACTTTCACCAGTGCACATCTGTAACAAGGCACTTCTCCGTCATCTACCTGCTGAGTGGGAACCTGTACTTTCATCCACCTTCAGCCGTAACACAGTTCCCTATCCTGTACATACAAGTATTATTGTAGATAACACGGGGATCCTGGATTCCCACTTCCACCCAGTAATAATGAGTTATCTGTGGAGCATCAATTAGGAATTCCTGTATCTTCCAGCCAGGATGAATTAGTGGAGCCTTGTGGGAAACAGTAGGAAGGAGTTTCTTACCTCCCAGCCAGACTAAATTAATGGGGCCTGGTGGGGAGCATGAACTCCCACTGTAGCCTAGCAGTTAATGAAGTACACACCTACAAAGGCCACATGGAGGAACTTGGAGTTCTCTCTCCCACCTCACAGCAACAAAGTGGTTCCTGTCATCTTCTCACTGGTACAGTGTCAAGGGAGGCTTGCTAAAATAGATTTAAATAAGATCCAGAAAATACCCAAAATGTCCAGAATAAAATAAAAAATATGTCATGCCAAGAACCAAGAACATCTCAACTTGAATGTGAAAAGACAATCAAGAGATGCCAATTCTGAAATGACACAAATAGCTTTAATTGTCTGACAAGTATTTCAAAGCAGTCAAAGTAAAAATGCTTTAAAAAGCAATCATGAACATACTTGAAACAAATGAAAAAATGGAAACCCTTAGCAAAGAGATAAGTGATAGCAAAGCAACAGAAGATATGAAGAATGAAATGAAAAGTTTAAAATTTTAAAAATCCTATAAACAAATAAATTCAATGGTTAGGGACTCAATAGCAGAGTGGAGAGAAAAGAGAAAAGAATCACTGAACTTGAAGACAGAAAAATAGAAATTACCCAGTATGAACAAAAGAGAGAAAATAGACCCATAAATAAATGAGCCCCACTTTACCAAGATGGACATATCCTGTACTTATGGAACCATACAAAAGGTTTAATATTAGTATCACTGGATTCATAGAAAAAAAGAGAAATAGTGTGGGGCTGAAAAAGCATTTGAAGAAATTATAACCTAAAGTCTTCCAAATTTGGCAAAAGACATAAACCAAGAAGCTAAGTAAGAAGCTAAGTAAACCTCAGACAGGAAAAAAAACCCAAGTCCATGCAAGGACACATAAGAATAATCAGAATCAAATTTCTGAAAACTAATGACAGAGAAAAAAGTCATGAAAACAGTGACAGAGGAATTAAATCTTACTTATAGGGGAAAAACAATGTGAATGACAGATTTCTAATCAGAAACCATGGAAACCGGAGTATGTGGCACAATATTTTTCAAGTGGCGAAAGAGAAACATCAAACCAGAATTCTATACCCAGAGAAAATATTCAGAAATAAAAAGAGAAATCAAGACATTCTCAGAGGAAGAAAAACTAAGCAAGCTGTTACCAGCAGACCTACCCTAAGAAACGACTAAAGGAAGTTCTTGAAATGGAAAGAAAGAAAAGAAATCTTGGAATGCCAAGAAAGAGGAAAGCACAATGGAAAGAGTATTAATAAACTTCCCTTTTTGATTTTTCTAGGTTATCTTTGATTGATCGATGCAAAAAAAACTGTAATATTGTCTAATTGGTTCTCAATGTATATAATGAAAATATTTAATTCAAATATAAAAAGGGGAGGAGAAATAGACTGAAAGGAAAGTAACATTTCTACACTTTACTCAAATTGGTAAAATGTCAACACTAATAGACAATAATAAGTTATGTATATACATTGTAATACTTACAACAACCACTTAAAAAAACTATATGAAGAGATACACTAAAAAACAATATGAGCAAATAAAAATAGAAGTCCAAAATATGTTCAAGAAGCCCATAGGAAGGCACAAAAAAGAAAGCAGAAGAAAGATAAACAAAGGAAACAAATGTAAAATAAGAAAACAAAATGGTAGACTTAACCCCTAACAGGTCAATTTACTATATGAAATATAAATTGTCTTTGTTCATCAATTAAAAGATAAAAATTAGCAGCAGATAAAGGAACATGATCCAATTGCATGCTGTCAACAAGAAACTCACTTCAAATATAGTAATATATGTAGGTTGAAAGTAAAAGAATGGAAAAAGATATCCTAAACATTAATCAAAAGAAAGCAGGAGTGGCTTCATTAACCTCAGATGGAGTAAACTTTGAAGCAAAGGAAATTACCAGAGTCAGAGAGGCCATTATCTACTGATAAAAGGGTCAGTCCACTTAGAAGACATAACAATCTTATACAGGTATGCACCAACAACAGAGCTGCAAAATATTTGAAGCTAGAGTTCCCAATTATTTTAGCAAATGATCTAGGTATTGCTGTGAAGGAATTTTGTAGACATAATTAAAGCTCCTACTCAGTTGACTTTCAATAAGGAGATCATCTTGAATAATCTGGATGGGCTTGATTCAAACAATTGCAAGCCTTTAAAAGCAGAGGTGAGACATCCTGGAAGAAAGGAGATCATTTCAGAGCTTTAAGACTTGACTGCCTCACTGGCTTTTGGACTCACATGTGGTCTGTAGCCCTTTGTTTTGGCCAATTTCTCCCATTTGGAATGGGTGTATTTACCCAATACCTGTACTCCCATTGTAACTAGGAAGTAACTAACTTGCTTTTGATTGTACAGGCTCATAGGCAGAAGGGACTTGACTTCTCTCAATCAGACTTTGGAATGTGGAATTTTGAACTAACGCTGAAATGTGTTAAGACTTTGGGGGACTGTTGGGGAGGTATGATTGGTTTTGAAACATGAGGACATGAGATTTGGGAGGGACCAGGGTGAAATGATATGGTTTGGCTCTGTGTCCTCACCCAAATCTCACCTTGAGTGGTGATAATTCCCATGTCATGGGAAGGACCCAGTGGGAGATAATTGAATCACAGGGGTGGTTTTTCTCATCTGTTCCTGTGATAGTGAATAAGTCTCATGAGGTCTGATGGTTTTATAAAGGGGAGTTCCCCTGCACTTGCTCCCTTGCATGCTGCCATGTAAGACATGACTTTGCTCTTCCTTTGTCTTCCACTATGATTGTGAGGCCTCCCCAGCCATGTGGAACTGTGAGTCCATTAAACCTCTTTCCTTTATAAATTGCCAAGTCTTGGATATGTCTTTATTAGTAGCATAAGAACAGACTAATACACTCAATGTTAGTGAGCAGAACAAAACTTTTCCTTAAGGAAAATGTTTCTCCTACATTTATTTCTAAAAGTGCTTTCTCATGTGGCCCTTCAAATGAGGGTACAGAGAGATAGGACAGATAAGATCCTCAACAACATCTTTAAAGTAAATACAGTACTAGTCTCATAGGACTAGGTCAAAAACATTCTTTAGTGAAAGCTAACAACTAAATAAAGCCCAGTATACAATGTGCTAGGGAATTTTCCAGTGTTGGAGTGAGAATGTTTTAGTCGTCCATTCTGAGGAGGGGCCAGAAAACAGCAGGACTAGGATTAGTAATCTTCTTGGAACACTTCAGAGTACTAAATGATCATGAATTGTCTTTCAATTTTCTAGAAAGTTTGATGTGTTTTCTTGTCTGATTGGAGCTGGGCAACATTACACAGGGAAACCTTTTATTCTTTGCATACTTGTCATGTATTTACCCTGTTTGTGGAAAACAGGAGCCCTATGAATTTGCTTGTTATGGAATCTGAGTATCCAAATGTTGCTTTCACATTCAGTCTTAGGGTCTGTGTATATTTTTCTTTTCAGCTTACTTAGTAATGTTGACATACCACATTTTTGGTTCAAATATATTTTTTCTTAATTATTAATATTAGCAACTATATTTCCCCAGAAAATAGAAAGCTGCTTTTAGGTTTAAGAGGATGGTAAAACTCCATAGAATAATTTTTTACCCTGTCCCATAAAATTGTGTTCTTTACCTTTTAGGCATTGAATTCAGTGGGTTCTGTTGTAAGCAGCATTTTCCCTCCCTTTCCACCACAATTCAGACAATTCAGAATTGGCCAGATGACAAAATTTAAAAACCTAGATCTAGACTATATTAAGTCTAGTAAATTTGGCTATAATGCTAGTGATAAGGCAATGTTCAAAATAACTATGTCCTATGAATATGTGAGTATGCAGCTTAGAGCAAATATTATAAGTCATAAAACAACTTACAATTGGTATTCCATCCAAAGCTTTCAGTTCTGGAAGATGAAATATTACAAACAACCGGTAGTTTTCCTGATTCCATACAATAATGTTTCCACACGTGTCTAGAATGACCAAGTTGCATAAACCCTAGGTAATAAAATACATACATTTATACATATGTATATTTAAAACACTCTAGTCAGGGGTTAGCCATTCTCAAATTTTAATATTAGAAATATCTATTATTCCATAGGATTTCAGTGCTTTTAAGTTCACTTTTTTTGTTGTTAAAGATGAGGTCTCACTCCATTGCTCAGGCTGGAGTGCAGTGGTGAGATCATAGCTCATTGCAACCTCAAACTCCTAGGCTCAAGTGATCCTCCCACCACGGCCTCCCAAAGTGCTGAAATTATAGGCATAAGCAACCATGCCCAGCCTAAGTGCACCTTTAAGTGCAAGGGTTACCCTTTCAGACCACTAAGGTATAATTTTGTGCAATATTTCAATGGTCTATGTTATATAATCAGAATACCTTCTGGATACTAGTGCCAAATATATTATCTATTAATGGTAAAGGCTTAGAGTGAACTTTACTATGTTTAAGACAAATATACTTCGTTTATGGAATAATGGCTTAATAAATGGTATATATGTGTCTTAACAAATGGTATAGATATAACAGGAATAAAAGACACTGGTATTTGAAAAGCAATAAAACTGAAGTGCTTCTACTTTCTGAGAGTGTAGTAGAATTCATCTTAAGGGAAATGTGCTGTCTTATTACCAGACACTTTGATATGCCTTTGTTGTAAAGGAAGGGTCTTGGTGTAGGTATGAAAGGGAGAGGTGAAGATAAGAGGTAGTAAAACTACTATGCATCATAATGTGAAGTGGCTTATTGTGTTGCTAATGTTGTTGATTAGGTTGCCTCCCTAGCTCTAAAAGTAGTAATTGTATTGGGGGAATGGAATGCAGAGAAATCTGAACTAAGAAAAGATAGGAAATGGACACAAGTTTTTGGTAGGAGATAAAGTCATAATAATATTGTATCAGCAAAAGGAAAGGCCAATGTAAGACTCATAGTGTTAGCAAATGGCCACTAAACTTCAGAAACAATGAAGTCACATATGACATTTGAAGTAAATTCTTGTTCTGTGCTATAGAAACCCTCCATTTTGATCAAAACTTTAAAAATCCTATTACACAATAGCCTTAAATTAGTGGTTTCTTTGGAGAAATTAAGAAAAGCAAATCTGAGCAAAGGCGACCAAGTTTGAGCCAACTGGTAAGAGAATAGTGAGAGAATATCAAGAATTGTACTAAGAACAGGAGAATGCTAAAGAATCCCTGGAAATATTGAAGAAGGCACTAGTTAGAAGGAATAGGTTTGGGTTATCATACTTGAGTATTAAAAAAAAGTTACCCTAGAAGGATAGCAAATGGGGACATTATGTTTACACACATATGTTTGTATGTGTACATAAATTGAATGCAAATAAATTTTAATAAATCTCTGATTTTTATTTTCTTTATATTTTCCAAATTCTGTGCAGTAAACATGCATTACTTTCAAAATATAAAGAAACAATAAATATTTTTAAAAACAAAAAAATTACTACCCCAAATGATTACCTTTAAATTATATATCTCCTGATTGACAGCAATATAGTTATTACTTATATATAATTCAACAAGAGTAAAAGATTTCTGTAAACCACTCAATGAAGTGATTCTGTTGTTCTCAAGAGAAAGGGAGTGAAGATGAAGCATGTTATCAAAAGTATGCTGTTCCAAACCAGTGAGAAGATTATTATTTATGCTGAGGCGTGTTAATTTAGTCATCTTGGAAATACCTAGAACAATAAAATCAAGGAAAGATTCAGATAACACTAAAAGGTTAATTTAAAAATAACTGGTTGGTCATTTTATTGTAATCAAATAAATCATTTTTAGGTTCAAATGGTTTTAAAGATTCTATAATACTAACTATCGTAGCTTTTCCTTTTGTTTTGGAAGAATATAATCTTGTGTATAAGCCCCATCTTAAACATTAAATTCTAATTTGGGATTTTTAGGTAGATTCCTTCTTCTTAGGATTTAAGGAAAGGCATTCCATGAAAGTATTGAATTTTTCTTTCAAAAAACCTTAAAATGATGTAATGAATTAAGATTTTTATCATTTTGACAACAAAAAGCTCTACACAAAGCTCAAAATAATCACCAGCCCTCATTTTTAAATATTGAGGATAAGGAACTAGAGTTCCACATTCTGGAAAGTGCATCATTTGTATTAAAATGAACCATTTAGCAAACTTTTACTTTCATATGTTTAAAAATACTGTAAGATAGAAGTTTAGAAAATGGGACCAGTCTAACTCCTATGTACATTATGTACTGCAAGCACTTTATAAGTATAGCCAGGATGGTACAGTTGAAAGATAAGAACTTTGGAATCCTAGTTTGCTTCAAATGTATCACTACTAGGTTTGTCACAATACATAAATTATGTAACCTCTGAGCCTCAGTTTTCTCAGCCATAAAATGGGCATACTGAAATTTACTTCCAAGGAGTTATGAAATTAAATGGAATAATATTTGGAAAGTATCAAATAATTATCTGTGTTCTTCTTTCACATTAGTTCCCATTGTGGGACTACACAGTGCTAAAGTTGAATCAATCTAGAGCAAGATAGATCAAAGCCATAAAGCAAAAATCATTAAATTGGTATGAAATCTACCCATGTCTGAATAAGAATCTCTCCAAAAAGTGGTTGTAACAAAAACACAGACTGGAAGATTCTTCTCTTTAATAGCTTTACAGAAGGAAATGAAAAGGAAATAGGGTTTTTAATTGTATGTACAAAGCAGAACTAATATCCAGCTGTATGGGAATGGCAGACTGGTGATAGTTCTAGACATAGATGCCTAAGCTTCCCCTAGGTTTCCTCAACTGAAATCTACAGAAGAGAGGCCTGTGAATCTGTACATTAAGTATCCCAAGTGATTCTTAAGATCAAGAAAGTTTTAGAAACATATTGTTAACAGCCATTAAAATGAAATATATAAAAAAAGTTATATATTCCAAAAGATATTTAATACTTGCTTTTACATATGACTCTTTGAAATCAAATTTTCTATTTTATAAAAAGTGTATTATATACAAATGCTAAAAATAATCCAATTCAAAAATGAATAAAGTGTGAATTCTCTTTCCCAGCCATTTCTAATTCTTACCTTCTCTCCTTGACAAAGACAACCATGTCACCAAAATGCACACACAGAAATATTCTTTACTCAGATAAGTGTGTGTGTGTATACACACACATATACATATTTCTCTTTTCAATCAAATAGTGCACACTTGTGGATATATTTTTTAATTTCTAGGAGTTCCTCTTTTGAATAGATGGAGAGGGAAAATAAGAGAAAGTTGGTAGCAAGTCATGGAAAGTTTCTTTCAATTTCTTTCTAATGAAGGTAAGAATAAAATAGGGGAGGCTGAGGTAGGTAGATCACAAGGTCAGTAGATCCAGACCATCCTGGCCAAAGTAGTGAAACCCCGTCTCTACTAAAATACAAAAAACTAGCTGGGCGTGATGGTACCTGCCTATAGTCCCAGCTACTTAGGAGGCTGAGGTAGGGGAATCGCTTGAACCCAGGAAGAGGAGGTTGCAGTGAGCAGAAATTACACCACTGTACTCCAGTCTGGCAACAGAGCAAGACTCCATTTCAAAAAAAAAAAAAGAGAGAGAGAGAATAAAATAAAGCTAGGAAGGAAGGAGTCAGAAAATACTTGACGTAGTACTATATATTCTGAGACATGTTGTCTAAACTCATGATTTTTAGCTATAGATAAGCATAAATCCAAATGAAGTGAAGAATCTAAGAAGTTTGGAAGGGGGAAGGGAGGAAAAGTCTTTTTTATTCTCTCTGGTTCAGAAAAATGTGTTCTAATACTAAACTTTAAACAGTCAAATAAAATGTATCATTATTAGGATATGAGTAAAGTTGCTTAACTAGGCTTGTATGTGGATCCATATAAAAGGTTACATGTAGTATATTTTATTTTCAACCTCTAGTGAGTATAATTTTCATTTTTTGTTAAAGTCTTCAAATTTCTAAATATAACCTAATTTTATATTTTCAAAACTGAACTAGGCTGCTTTACCTTTTTCAAAAGCATATGTCATTCATCTGTTTATTAAACTTTACAGACATTAATGACTACATAGTTTGTATGTGCTAGATTTGGTAACAAGATTGTAAACTAGCACAGAGGAGAGGAGAGAGAAGCCACAGGAGGTGAAAGTCAGCTTCCTGGGCTCATTATAAATAGTGGCATAGTCACAAATTCCACTAATGGGTATGAACTTGTTTTAATTTTTTATTTATCTTTTATTTTTTAATTTGACATATATATTTATCTTGTACAACATGCTGTTTTGAAGTATATATACATATTGTAGAATGCTCCAATCTAGTTAACTAATAATTGCATTACCTCACACAGGTATTTAGAATACTCTGCCACAAAACTTGGAACTTTCCTAGAGATCTTCTTCTTCAGAAACTTTGTTCCCTGTTATTTTTTGCTCTGTTGTTTAGATATACATATTTTGATACTTCAAAGTTCTTAAATATTTTACCTTCTATCTTTGAGATGCAGTTTCCATCTAGTATGAGCTCTTCCAGGTTAATACAGGATTCCAGGCCCTCCATTTTAGTGAGATTATTATTGCTGAATGATGCCCATTTCAAATTTTCCAATTTTTCTAAATTTGTGATTTTAAAAAGATGTTGTCCATCTAAATTTAAGGCAGTTATCTGTAGAATAATTTACATTATATGTTATTTCTGAATCATAAACAAATTCAATCAATGTTATAAGATTTTAAAAAGCTAATAAAATAATTCAAATAACAAAAGAATTCCTTCAGGAACTAAAGATATTGTAAAGCTGTTAGTTTACAGAAAAGTAAAATTTGACAAGATTGTAACTCCAGGAGGACTTATATGGTATTAAGGACACTGGTGTGCTAGAGTCCCACTGCAGTAATGGACTTGTCTCAGCTGCTGGGAGAGATTCCGGCAGAAAGCCTTCAGCTGTCAGTCCCTGCAGGGACTGCCTCAGTGTAGATAGCTGCCAAGGTTATGCTCCTTCCCAAGTTGTCCCTCAGCCAGTGATGGAGACATATGAAGGCCTGACCGTCTCAGCCCAACTTAGGACAAATTTAAAGGGCCATTCTAATTCCAGAACTGCCTTTGGGTCAGCCAAAGCTGTCACTAGGCCTTCATTTGCAGCTCAATGTCCATATATATATATATATATATCTTGTAATAAAAGTAATGCCAGCAATGTCTCCCATTTTCAAGGTGCATCTTCACTTAGCCCAGTTTCTATGTTTGTCAAGAGGTATAAGGAGACCTAATATAGCAAGAAGCTGGTGGTATTCTATAACCTTTTCCTTTATCCTTGGCTAAATTCTGACCAGCTTTCCTACTCTCTTGTCATTATTCCTGATCTCGCTATCCAAATTTTGGCTTGACCTCTGCCTCTGAGCCTTTAAATTTTGCTTGCCTATTCTGACGTGTTATCAGAATCTACCCTTCAGTTTTAGTGCGCCTTTATCTTAAATTTCTAATTCGATGGTGAACACAGTCAAGGCCCAGCCCCTCTGACATAGCCACTCCTGACTTGACCTCCTTTTTAATTTTTTTAGAATGTGACAAATGTATTACTTTTTCTAATAATAACAATGTCTTTCTTATTTTTATTTTTTCCATCTCTGTTGTGGTATAATTGACAATTTAAAATTGCACATATTTAAGATGTATAAACTTGATATAAGTATACACTGTAAATTAAAAACTGCATGATCTCAATTATATATGAAATCTAGGGCCGGGCACGATGGCTCACGCCTGTAATCCCAGCACTTTGGGAGGCTGAGATGGGTGGATCACAAGGTCAGGAGATCGAGACCATCCTGGCTAACAGGGTGAAAGCCCATCTGTACTAAAAATACCAAAAATTAGTGGGGCATGGTGGTACATGCCTGTAGTCCCAGCTACTTGGGGGATGAGGCAGGAGAAATTGCTTGAACCCAGGAGGCTGAGGTTGCAATGAGCGATATTGCGCCACTGCATTCCAGCCTGGGTGACAGAGCGAGACTCCGTCTCAAAAAAAAAAAAAAAAAAAAAAGAAAAAGAAACCTAAAATAACCAAACTCATAGGAGAGAGTAGAATAGTGGTTGCCAGGGGCTGGGGGCAATGGGAAATGGACATATGTTGGTCAAGAGGTACAAAGTTTCAGTTATGCAAGACAAGTAATTTCTGGAGACCCTAATGTACTATGTACCCTATGACTAAAGTTAATGATATTATATTGTACACTTGAAATTTGCCAAGAGGGTAGATCTTAAGTGTTTCTTCCCTATTTTAATTAATCTTTGGAGCTTTCTTTTGGGGCTTATGATACACAGGCCAACACAGACTTAAAAATAGATTTAAATTAAGCTTTATATTAGGTTTAATAAAATTAGCTTTACCTTCAAGTACCAGTTTCCATTTGGATGTAAATGAGCTCCTAACTTTGAAATCTGCGTCAGAATTTTGGCAGAAGGCCATATACTAAGTATCCGTGGTCTCTCCTCTTTAGTACTAGAATGCCGTAAGAGAGATAACTAATAAAATTTAAAAAATACAGTGAATAAACAGTATACAGAGGTTAGTTGATATATAGTAAAATTATTGTTTCCTAGGGAAGATGAGTGGCCCAGTAAATAATTTAAAAAATTTTTTAATATAACATTTCCTTTGTGTTAAATTGTTTTTAATATCTAGATACATTTTAATTACATTATTTCTGTTTTAGCAAATATCAAACCATTACAAGATAATATTTGTAAGACTGTAAAAGGATTACTATATGATGAACACCCATATAATCCACCCGTGAAACCAACTTAAGAGCTAGAATATTATGAATACATTGCAAACACCCTGTGGGCCTGATCTAAGCCCTATTCTTTCCTTCCCTTTAGAAGTGATCATTATCTCAAATGTTTTGTCCCCCATTGACTTGCTTTCTTTATAGTCCTATGTCTGTGTCCATAAACAATGTATCATTTAGTTTTGCACATATTTGAACTTTATGTAAATTGAATAATATGTATGTATTCCTTCTATGACTTGCCTTTTTTTGTTCAACATCATATTCATCGGATTTATCTAAGCTTCTGTATGTAGCTGTAGTTCATTCATATGTACTATGTATAGTATTCCCTTAATGACTCTCCTGTCAATGAACATTGGGGTTGATTCATTTTTTGCTATGACAAACACTGCTGTCATGAATATTCTTGTGCATGTTTCCTGGTACATACCTGCAAGAATTTATTTAGAGTATATGCCCCTAAGTAAAATTGCTGGGTTGTTGAATACATATATGTGTGTGCATATATATACACACGCACACACATACACATCAGCTTTACTGAATAATGTCAAATTGTTTTCCAAAGTGGTTCTACCACTTTGGAAAAATTACACTTTTACTTCATATTCTTGCAACAACTTGGTATTGTCAAGCTTTAAAGTTTCTGCTCATCTATAAAACTGGCAAAAATTGGTAGGTCATTGTGATTTTAATGTTCATTTTCTTGAAATCTAATGTGGTGGATGGAGCATCTTTTCCTAAGTTAATTGGCTGTTTTGATTTCCTCTCCAGTGAAGTGTCTGTTCAGATCTTCGGCTTACTTTTCTGCTTGGCTGGTTGTCTTTTTCCTTGTATATTCTGCATATATAAAGAATATCTTTTGACAGTTGTGTTGCAAATTTCTTTTCCCAGTATGTAGCTTGTCTTTTCATTTTCTTTGAAAAAAGATATGTTAATTTTAATGTATACATGTCTTATTATTTATGGTTTATGCTCTTTGTTTCTTGCCTACTAAATTATTCACTAATTCAAGGTCATAATGATAATCTCTGATATTTTCTTCAGAAAAACTTCTGGTTTTGCCTTTTACAATAAAGTCCTTAAAGCCTTTTATTGAATAATCTCCCTGATCTGCAAAGGCAGCTCTGTTATTTATAAAGTTTCTACAGTCTATATTAAGTCTTTATTCTGTTCCATTGGTCTACCTGTCTAGCTCTGTGCCATATAACACGTTGTCTTGGAGGATTGTAGTAGACTTTGATTTTCTTTCTCTTTCTTTCTTCCCTCTCTCTCTCTCAATCTTTCTCTCTCTTTCTACTTTTTCGGCCAGGCTACAGTGCAGTGGCACGATCTCAGCTCACTGCAACCTCCATTTCCTGGACTCAAGCAATTCTCCTGCCTTACTTTCCTGAGTAGCTGGGATTACAGGCATATGCCACCACGCGTGGCTAATTTTTGTATTTTTAGTAGAGACAGGGTTTCACCATCTTGGTGAAACTCCTGATCTCAGGTAATCCATCTGCCTTGGCCTCCCAAAGTGCTGGGATTACATGTGTGGGACACTGCACCCAGCCTGATTTCTGTTTTTTAAAAAATATTTAATCTTTTTAATTTCAGTTTTTATTCTAGATTCAGGTGGTACATGTGCAGATTTGTTACAAGGATATATTGCATGATGTTGAGATTTGGGGTGGGATTGAACCCATCAACCAGATAGTGAGCACAGTACTCAAATAGGCAAATTTTCAGCCCCACCCATCTCCCTCCTTCTCCTTGTATTCCCCAATGTGTATTGCCCCTATCTTTATGTCCATGTGTACCCAGTGTTTAGCTCCTGCTTATAAGTGAGAACAGATGGTATTTAGTTTTTCCTTTCTGTGTTAAGCTGCCTAGGATAATGGTCTCCAGCTGCATCGATGTTGCTGCGAAGAATATGATTTTATTCTTTTTTATGGCTGCATAGGATTCCATGGTGTACATTTTCCATGTTTTCTTTATCCAGTCCACCACAGACGGGCACCTAGGCTGATTCCATATTTTTGCTATTGTGAATAGTGCTGCAATGAACATATTTATGCATATGTCTTTTTAGTAGAACAATTAATTTTCTTTTGGGAATAGCCCCAGAAATGGAATTGCTGAGTATAAGGTAGTTCTATTTTCAGTTCTTTTCTTAGGGTAAATGCCCAACTCTTCTTTTGGAGTGTTAATGATTTGTATAATCAACAAAAAAGTTTCTTTTCAAAAATCTGAATAGTTCCAAGATTAAAAATTTTATCACTTAAGGAATTAATATTCAGATACTTCACAAAAAGTAAATAGCTAGAAAACTAGAGTAGATATATTTAGGATGTTGAAGCTACTTTGGCTAAAGTACAGCATTCTTAATATGGATAATAATGGTATTTCCTCTCCTTCCATGTTAATGGATTGTGTTCTTTTCAGTCAAATAAATATAATGTCAATACTAAGTAGATAGATAATTCACTGAATGCTTTCTGAAAGCCTCTAAGCTTACTTTATCTTCAGAAAGTTGCTTATTTTCAAGTAGGCTCTAGAAAGGGCTCTGGTGAGTTCAGGTGACTAGGCAAAAAACAGTTACCCTAGAGGTATTTTTGGTGTAGTGCTCATGGACAATAAAGAGAATACATACAACCATTTGGTATTTAAATGAGATACATTTAAACAGAAACAAATATCAAGTGTTATGATTTCTCTGTATTAATGTTTTATTAATATGATAAGAGGGAATATAAAATCTTACTGACAGAAGAGTATGGGAAATACTATTTGTATGTTCTAAATAGCACAATGAATAGTAAACAGTAAAATCTAACCTGAGTCATCCTTGTTCCAGCAATAAACTTCATAGCTGCTGTTGCTTCTTCTTCAGAAATGAAGATTCCATTTAAATGGGTAAGAGTCTTTAATCTGCCAATAACAGTCCGTCTCAATGTGGCTGGCTTGGGAAAAATGGCAAAAAATTATTTCTTTTAAGATAAACTATTAAATATGGTATGAAAATGAGTGATTTTTCATATCCTTCCATAGAATTCAAAATTATGCATTTCCTTGTTCATTACATATAACTAAAAATAAAAGCTGAATTATTTCAATAATAGTTGAAATGAAATTATATTTAAGAGTTAATCTGTTTGTTTGAAGGTGGATGGTTTTACTCTGATGAGGGAGGGAAATCCCATAAGCTGTTGGAAAGTGACGGTGGTGAGAAGTGTTAAAAGAACAATTGTAGTGACTCCTGGTTTATCTAGATCAACAGTAAGCTAGTCATCTCCGTGTGTAATTCAGCACAGATCTTTAGCCCTTGACAATCCAATTGGGCAACAGGGAGATAGCTGTACTGTGATCATCCAGGAAATATGCTTTGGCAAAAGAAAAACAGTATTCACTTCTACTGAGCAAATAAGAAGAAATACAACAATATGAACTTAGTAATATGGCTAATTTAAAAGACCAATTGTGCTTTAGTTTCCTTTTTATAGGCTGAACACAGCCTTATATACATCTTTTAAAGGCAGAGCAGGGACGATTCTTGAAATTATAATCTTTGGACTTATTTTAAATACTTGAAGATACACCAATGTAGTCATGGAATATGGAAATTACCTAGTATTAATACACATATTTTTGTAATAAGAAAAAATAATGTTCAGATTTCCTTTTTATAAGGGAACATAAGACTTTGTAATGCAGGTTGTGAGGAGAAGTGATTTCTGGACTTAAAATAGAAAACAAATAATACAAAAAGCAAAATAAAATTGTAAAACATGTTGCTTAATCACAGATTAGGACATATTATAAATCAAATTATGTTTCTTTCTTAACAGTATGCCTCTCTCACTGTATTATATTATTCTTGGTTCTCATGCCTCATTAATATAGAGTTCTGGCACACTGAACTATATAAACTTTCTGGAGGTTTGCCAATGGCAATGACATCAATGACTGAAAGCAATAATGTTCTCAATCTATTCAAGGTTGCAAAAAATCTGATATGAAATTATAGTCTTTTCTTATATTAACATCTGATTCATTTGATCAGTACATTAAATCCAACTCATGAATGACTTCATGGAAGGAAGTCTAGAAATACAAAGACAGTTTGCCCATCTCTGGCTATTACTGAATAGTAAAGTTAGAAGGGAAATGTCTCTGAAATAAAAATGTTTGCTTTTTAGTAACATGTCTGTGGCATACCTTTTGCCATGGATTATGTTGAATATTAAGTGTAAGAAGGCTTGCAGTATGTTTGCATAACGTATTTATTTCATCACCAGATTTTTTCAGTTGATTCCAGCTCAAGTCTAAGTGCTTCAGTTTCATCAGACCTTTAAATCCCTCAAGAGTTATCACATGGTTATGGCTTGCATCCAAATATTCAAGGTTATACTGCAACACATACGAATAAAAGTGATGCTAAGAGAATCATAATTTGTATTTACAAAATAGTTTCTCTGTGGTTCTTTACGTACTTTACATGCTTCTTGGTAATCCGCACAGGACACCTAAACAGTAGTTATATTGCAGTGATGGTATCAACATACATATTTGTCTAAAAAACTACAGATATTTTGTTAGTAATTCTCTTTAAATTAATATTTCATCCTTGTAACATACAGTGGCAATGTCTGTTTTCATAGGAGAGAAGAAATAAAGAAACCAATTTATCCCCAACAAACAAAATGTACTTTTTTAATATACAGGCTTCTGGTTTATACCATTGAACCCATAGCTTTAATTCGGTTCATCTTCAGAGTCAGAAACTAAACCCATTAACTCAATACTAATAATTTTCTTTTTTAAAAGTACATAATTTTTAATAATAATTTTCTTCAATTATGAAAGTAACACATGTTCCTTGTTGGAAATTTGGAAAATATAGTAAATAAATCAAAAGAAAACATAGAAAGCACATATAATCCTATTGCTCAGAAAGAACCACTGAAGCATTGTTTTTCATTATATGCACATATTTTTTCTTATGTAAAACATATATATAGTATATCCTTTTAATATTTTTTCACAGTATTAGATCTTCTTAAAATGATTTTTATGACTTTGATATTTTAATATGTGATTATAATTTTTAAAAACATTTTGCTATAGATCTTTATGTTTCTAATTGTTGCCAACACAGCAACAAACATCCATGAGAATGATTCTCTAATTGCAACTCCAAAATCTTTTTCAGAACAGGTTTTAGAAACAGGATCACTCTTTCTTAGACTTTCTGCATTGTTAAGACTCTTCATAAATACTGCTAAGTAGATTTCAAGGAAGTTTGTACCAATACTTTCTTCCAACAGTACACTATGAGAATGCCCATATTCTCAAATACTGATCCACCTGCCTTATTTTAATTTACATTATTACTGGTGAAGTTGAACATCTTTCGATGTGCTTATACTAGCCATTTAAAAATTCCTTTTTTTGTATATTGCCTTTCTTGTCTTTGGCTATTTGTCTATTCATATCTTCCTCTTACTTGTTTGTGAGAAATCTCTAAGACTTTAATTTGTTACATTTGATTTCTCTACAACTTAATTTAAACAACTGTTTGAATTCAGAATAGACTTACTCATTCCTTTATACGGTATAATTTTTATTTTGGGGATAGAACTTCCTATAGTGGTTCAGGTTTCAAGAGGTGAATCAAAACCTAAAAATATTTCTGGAACCGAACAGTGTTACTAACTTTTCATTCTCAGAAGCAAGCATTAGCAAGACAAAACAAAAATTATCTCTTACTATCATCATTTCTTGAACGAAAGGCTATTTGACAGTAAAAAAAAAGTATGAAAGCCTTAAGTTTAGGAAAAAAAACCACTTTTAAGTAAAATGAATTTGGCTTTATAAAAGTTTACTACGTGGCACTTCTGTTTCCAATTTTCATCATAGACTGGTGAAAACTTGTCCCACATTGTGGCACCTGCCTGTGGACCAGCATTTGGGAACCACACATCATAAAAAAAAATAACTGTCTTCTTTCCTTGAAAACAGGGGTGGAATCTTTATTTCCGTATCTTCAGAATATAAAACAGATTCTAGGAACTTATTAAATATTCATGAAACAGTATTTCAGTTTTGCAGTAGCATTTTGTTTTAATATTTCTTGTTCTTGAGTTTAAAAATCTCTCTTAAGTTACAGTCCAGTCCAGTCCATTACAAAGAACTCAAAACACCTCTCAAATTTTCTTAGAGATACCGGTTCATTCTCTAAACCTAGTTATCTCTAGACATCAGGAACAACTTAACAATGGATTTCTCATTCAGAAAGGTAAGATAGTATTATTTCAATAAAAATTAGAACTGTAATTGTTATCTAGATTAAGTTTGCAAATAGCCATTTATATTTGTTTTTCCCTAGTCAATACTAATTATGGTGAGCTATTTTCAGAGAAAACATCTCTTCCTATTTCCTTCTCCCAGATATTCTCTTTTCCTGATAATAATGGTAAGTGAATGACAGACATGCAGCTTATTACATTTTAATTTACCTTATGTGGATGTCTTATTTAGATTTCTGAAAAATTCCATGAAACTGTAAGGTGTATTTATTTATTTTCCACCACTTACAAATCCCAGGCCTTCCACCACATAAAGAAAGCCTTAGTTTGGGTATATTGATATAGAAGGCAAGGCCAGGAATGATGAACACTCTAACAACAATACGTTTACTTTCTACAACCTAGAAGAACCAACTTACCTCATTTATATGAGAAGCATGCAAGAAGAGCATAGAAATTGTCTATGTTAGTATACACTTAAGGAAAATGATAATAAAGATGAGTATCCCAAGGCAAATTTAAAAACTTAGAAAATAGGCATTCTAAGTGAATGATTAAATTGGATCATAACCTTTTATAATATTGGAATAAACATAATAATAAACATGCATATAAAACCAAGAGACTACAGAGGCAGAAGCAGCAGAAGTTTTCAATCATTGTGAAACCATACATAAAAACAGAGCAAATAGAAAAAGCCAAATTTTCATGGACAATGTTTGTAACAAAACTATATGACAAGGTTGCTCTGTAGGCTCCAAAAGAAGTTGGTAGAAATAAACCACCAACAACACAAGACCTGCATGGTATCCATGTGAGAAAAGAAGGAAGTGTCAGGGCAGCATCTGATGGACCTGAAAGCAGGAGAGCCCCAAAATAGTAAACAAATATTCCCTGGAAAGTGTGGAGACTAATTTTTAGCACTTGAAATAGGGAGGAGTTTTGCTCTCTTAAATACCAAAGGAGTACATGACATCCACAGTAAAAAGGTCTGAAGGGGCCTGATACAGTGGCTCCTGTAACCCTAGCACTTTGGGAGGCTGAAACAGGAGAATTGCTTGAGACCAGGAGTTTGAGATCAATGCAGGCAACATAGTGAAACCCCATCCCTAGAAAATTATTTTTAAAATTAGAAGGGTCTGGTGGCATGCACCTGTAGTTCCAGCTATCCAGAAGGCTGAGGCAGGGGAAATCACTTGAGCCCAGGAAGTTGAGGCTGCAGTGCACTCCATGACTGTGCATTGCACTCCAACCTGGGTGACAGAGTGAGACCCTGCCTTTAAAGAAAAAAGAAAGAAAGAAAAGAAAATGAAAAAGAAAAAAGAAAAGTCTGAAGGAAGCAGTCCCTGGAATAGTCTAGCCCCTATGAATCTAAAAACTATTCCACTGTGACACCCTTCAAGACAGAATCCTTCTCATAGAAGAAACTGCTGGGGCTAAACTAAAAATTAAACAGGATAAGGACAAGAGAGGCAAATAAAAAAGAAGGTCTAAAGAGGAGGATTGGAATAGAGCCAAAAGCATCTCAGGAAGTAAGAATTACAATTTTTAAACACTGCACATAAACAACAGAAGAGGAAGATCTGTGAAGTTAGAAAAGCTTCCTGAACCTCACCTCATTTTAAACATTAAGAAAAACTAATTTCACTTACAGATGAGCAGAGAAAAGTACTGAGGTCAAATCCAAGACAAAGCTATGGTGGGATTGCAGAGAGGGGGAAGACAGAGATTAATATTGCTGCTGGCAATAAAAGTACACCAGAAAAATATGTTAAAAAATTTTTCCATGAAACATATCATGACTATTAACTTACCATTTTAAAACAAACAAAGAGATGTTAAGAATGATATGAGACATAAAATAACAATATAAATCTGGATTACAAACTAAAAAACTATTTTAAAAAGTGGAGTGAAAGGACCAGAAAAAATGAAATAAATAATTTAAGAAATAAAAACTAAATCAGTCATATCCGAGAGTGAATAAAAAACAGGTAACACTTTTAAGAGAAATACAAGATAAAAAAGTGAAAAAATTTGAAGATAAGAAATGAATAAAGAGATAAAAAGGATTCAAGAGAAAGTGACAAATACTGAGGATAAAGAAGATTTCATTTATGGATAATGAGAGTCCCTGAAGAATAAGACAAAAGCAAGGAAACAGAAAAAAATGCTAAAAATTTCCCATTCAAAACATCTTTCCTGAAAGAAAAAAAGTGATTTTAAGCTACATATTGGAAGATGATACTGTGGATCTGAAGAAAACAACCCAGAACAACCAACACCAAGACAAATTCTAGTAAACTTATTAGACTTTAAGGAAAACTGAAAAAGTTATTTGGCTATCTAGAAGGAAGAAAGCCTTGTGACTTATAAAGGATTAAAAAAAAATCACACATTCTCATCAGACTTTCTACAGCAATTCTTTGGAATAGAAGACAATGAAGTAATATTTACGATGCCCCCCAAAATAGTGAGCCAAAGATTTTACACCAACCAAAACCACATTACAAGTATGAAGGACATAGCTAAACTATAGGAATATTGTTCCTATAACTCCTTCCTGATTATCTATAATAGAATATATTTCAGACAATCAAAATGTTTGGAGAGATACCAACATAAAGACTGGTGATGAGAAGTAAATATACAATTACCAATTAATTAAAAGGGAGAGTATACAGAGCATAAGGCTACCTGCTGTGACAATATAGTTATAATTATTTAAATTGTTTTTTTTAATTGGGAAGAATGGAAAGAACTTACACAAAATTTTTAGAAAATTTTTCCAGTAAATAATATTGATAATAGTATAAGTACTATCATTCTGACACCATTATGTGTATAACAGTAGATAAAACAATGAGTAATTATTAAATATTCTATCATCTTGTATCCTTAAGAATCAGGATTATTGGTATGAGAAAAGTGTATATATGTTAGTAATAGAAAAGTAAAAGTAAAAACTTTGTAGTCTTGAACTTGAATTGGAAGTATAAAAAATTCATGACTTTATATACACATGCACACAGATATTCATATGCCCTCCAACAAATTCAGCCCAGTGAAAAGACCTAGAAATAATGACCAATTGGATTGAAT